TCTTGAAACTGCAAAATTACTTTTAAAATGCACAGAAAAAAATAACAATTTTCGAACATAACATTAGCGCAAAGCTGTAAGTTGTTAAATTCTCATTAATATTCTAATTACTGCATAATTTTCGAAAATAAAATCGTGTTAGCGAATGTACAAGATTTACTTTTAACATTTAATTTTAATTTATAACATACTGTGTGTCATTTTTTAGGTTTTACAATCCCCCACGTATAAAATGCAAATAAACAATACTAAATATGCAAAATCACCCACAAAAGAATGTCTGCTGCGCATTGTTCCTACTTATCTTGGTGGCACATTAAATTGGCCATTCATCTATGACCTTTGTGCATCTAAATTTAATTCGTCACACTTTGTTGTGCTCCATTAGCGATATTATCCCTAAAAGAAACATATACTCTGAATGGTCATCTACACTGTGAATGCAAGTTTAGTATGCAACGGAAGATGCGTGCGCACAGCTAACGAAAATTCAGCAGTGTGAAGTTAGCAGCATCATCATAAACTCTTCAGTCCGAAGACTGGTTGGATAAGCACATCTACTTCTTCCTATGTTTAGACCATCTTCGTATTTTTTTGAAAACTCGAGCAATCTACATCTTTAACTATCAGTAAATGCGAACAGTAATCTAGTCTAGACCATCCTCTACCCCTCTCAACTCCTGCGTCTGCTTCTAATCTAACGTCTCTAACCAACCCTTCATGTCTGAGAAGTTATCCTACCAACCTATCTCACCTATTATTACTATTATTATTATCATTTACGATTTTCAATCAAGAAATTTCTTAATTGTTTCCTTAATCACTCTCAATAGCTCAAATGTAATTATTTACTACAAGACATCGATCTTTTACGCAAGTACTTTTTTTTTTTCATGAATATTAATGTAACCTGCATATTTTTAGAAACTAATTATTCTTCGAATTACATAAACTTCAAATACTGCGTTTTTGTTTACGGCATTTATGCGGAAAACATTTTTTTTTCTTTTTAGCCTTCAGTAAACAACCCAGATGAAAGAATAACTTTATAATTGTTAAATTATACGAAAGAAACGAAGCGAAACTGCACGTTACAGCGCAAAAATATGTGGTTTGGAATATTATGAATTCTTGAAAACTAACGAACAGGTACAGAAGAGAATTTGCACTGCCTTTCTTTAATTATTACCAGAGGAATTTGTACATGTACATTCAACTTTACGCAATTATATCTTCTGAAACACTTTCGAACCACTTCTATGAAAACAATAGAGCTACTTATTTACAAAGACAAGAACAATGTACTTATTTTTACTGGTTTGAAAGGTTCAATACCTGATACCTACTATAAACTTACACTTTCATCTAATTTTGCAGGAGAAAACTAAAAACGGACGTTTATCATTGAATAACTTCTACTATTACTTACTATTAAATTATGTGTTTTTTTTCAGGGTGGCGGTCAAATAATTACACAACTATACGTTTATTGTAACGTTTCAGTTTATTTAACCATCTTCAGACTTTTGGAGTGTTACTGCTTATACTCAGATATTAACTATTGCAGTTGTTTAACATGATAGAAAGTTTAAAAATAAGTTAATATACGAGTATAAGCAGTAACACTCCAAAAGTCTGAAGATGGTTAAATAAACCGAAACGTTACAATAAACATATAGTTGTGTAATCATTCGACCGCCACCCTGGAAAAAAACACATAATTTAAAAGGTAAATTTTATTTATAATAGCCCAATCATTTAGGCTTTTGACAATTTGGTAAAGACTTTCGGGGTCAATAGGTGAATTGACGATGTCCTGACTCGGATCTAAAGGCCGTTGCAATTATAGCAAAATGTAAAAAAAATCTAATATAACGAAATCCAATGTTTGTTACCTTCGGAATCAAAAGTTTTACGTTCAAACGAATGCACGTTCTTGAACACCCGGTATGTATATTTGTACACAAAACCCTTAACCACTTTCTACTTATAGAAAAATGTTAGTACTAATACTTTTACACACCCCAAGAAGCGTAAACAATTATTAAGTAAAAAAAAAGTAAAACTTACACGTACATGTCTGTCATAGTTCAAACAATGAGCATTTTTGCAACTGTTGCACATCGAAATTATTTTCGAAAATTTCTACTGAAAAAAAACCTATACGAATATAAAGATTTAGATTATTCAATCGCAAAAATGTGACCAGCACACTTCTTTACACCAATTTCAAAATGCAATAACGCATCGTACGAACACCAAATCGGACTTTGTTGTATGGAAAATGCGAAGGTAATCAACAATTTTTGTGCGCTTATCGCTGCATTTATTACAAGAAGCAGCCGTTCACTTGTTGTCGAAACGTCATTGCTTGTTTTAATTGTTTTACAAATGAACAAAACGACTACCGCTACCGAACGAATCCACACGCGCTCATTTTATGTGCAATGAAAAATATACGCGGGCTACGCGGCCGGAACCTCGGAAAACAATTAGAGTCTGGGTGGGATCTCCGATTAATCAAATAAGAATGGAGGGAGACAAGATAGACGGGAGAGCATGGAGGATCCGCAGCAATTTTCTTTAATTCGCAGTAACGGAAATGGATTACGAAAAACACCGATCGACAAATATTTTATGATGTAAATGCAAAAAAAACATATTTAACGTATTCCTACTGATATGCTGATTCTAGAATTAATTCCGAAATTGTAAAGAAGTGTTAAATAAAAAGAAAATAGGAGGTTACATTTACTTTCTGTAAAAAGATCGGTAATTGTCTAGTCTTCGCTCGAAGGGAGATGGTTTGGTAGAGGGAGATCAAAGGACTTCATCCCCATTTATAAAAAATGGGAGGAAGTTATGGGGAGGCGAGGGAGGTAAGGTGGAATCTAAAAATAGAAATAGTAAAAATGTAGATGATGGGACGGTTGCTCGGTTAGGGGGGGGGGCTAGACTGACCTTGCCGACCCCCACCATCTCATCATCAACTATTCATTTACTATTTTCATTTTTACCCTCCACCACCACTTTTTATCAACAAGGGTGAAGTCCTTTGATCTCCCCCTTCCCCCCCCCCAAACCCTACCGCTTTGGCACTTCGTCCAACTGATAATATGTAACCAATGACGGGAAAATTTAAGTTGACCCTACTGACCCGATTTTATCAAATATGTTATGTTAAGTTTAACGTCTTCTTTTTGAGAAGATTGAAAAGAAAATAGCGTTTTCACACATTTTTGGTCATAAAGCACTACTTTATTAGTTCATCATCATCATAAGGTCATCAGTCCTAAGACTGGTTGGACACGTACCTCCACTCTTTCCTATCCTGAGCTAAACTTCGCATTTCCCTAAAACTAGAACAACCCACATCCTTAACTATTTGCGAACAGTAATCTAATCTAGGTCTACCTCTACTCCTCTTAACTCCTGTTTCTGCCTCTAATATGTCTCTGACTAGACTTTCATGCCTGAGAAGGTGTCCTACCAACCTATCTCGCCTATTTTTTATTGACTTCCATAGAGTCCTCTGTTCTCCTATTCTTTCCAATACCTCTTCATTTCTAACCTTTTCTACCCACGATATCCTCATCATCCGCCTATAACACCACATTTCGAACGCTTCTAACCTTTTCTTTTCCGCCGCTCCCACTGTCCATGTTTCGCACCCGTACAACGCCGTGTTCCAAACATACACCTTTAACAACCTTTTTCGAATTTATTAGTTAAAGTTAAAAAATGTTTAGAAATATGTAATCACTTTTTCGCTATGATACCCAACTCGAACCGGATATCGTGTCGCTCCAAATCCTGGAATCCCTTTAGACACATTAGAAAAAGCAAATACTATATGAGGCCTTTTTTCCTTTTTGAATGAAATGGTGTTTTAGTATATTGTATGTCATAAATCAACAAGCACTACTTTAAAATAAACTTAAAAATGTTTAGGAAACGTAAATTTCTTTTCGCTATGATACCCAACTCGAACCGGATATCGTGTCGCTCCAAATCCTGAAATCCCTTTAGACACATTAGAAAAAGCAAATACTATATGAGGCCTTTTTTCCTTTTTGAATGAAATGGTGTTTTAGTTTATTGTATGTCATAAATCAACAAGCACTACTTTAAAATAAACTTAAAAATGTTTAGGAAACGTAAATTTCTTTTCGTTATGATACCCAATTCGAACCAGATATCGCATCGCTCCAATTCCTAGAGGTTCTTTAGAAAAATTAGATAAAGCAAATATCCTATGCCCTATGGTCCCTTTTCAATAAAATAGCGTTTTCGCACAAATTAATAAGCAGTACTTTAAAATACATAAAATTAGAAAAAGTTTAAGAATGTGTAATCCAAACCTTTTCGCTATGATAACCAACTTGAACAGGATATTGCATCACTCCAAACCCTAAAGGTTGTTTAGACAAATTAAATAAAGCAAATATCCAATGGGACCTTTTCTACCTTTTTTAATAAAATCGCGTTTTCGTTATGAAACCAACTTGAACCAGATATAGTTCAAAATTCTAATGGCCGTTTAATCAAATTTGAAAAACCAAATGCTTTTTGATCAAAAACACTAGTGAAAAAAAAATCCTAGGAATGTGTTATCAAAACCATTTTGTTATGATACCGAACTCGAACCGGATATCATTCAAAATCATGGTGACCCTATAGACAAATTTGGAAAACCAAATGCTTTGTGGTTCCATTTTTACTTTCATGCATAAAATACATATTGTTTTCTCTTCAACTTTTACTTTATTTTGTCTTTTTAATTACTTATTAAGTAAGCAACAACTTGAGAATAATAAAGAAGATTGTGGCACATAACTTAATAAACTCAAAGAACTTTGTGGAGAATGAGTGAATGACTACATTGAAAGTTATTGTGGTAATTAGGGGTGGCACTTAACTTTAATTTACAAATTATTACTTTGTTAGTATCTTAAGGTTAATTTTTTGCATCAAAATAAGAAAATAAGCTAGTGACTCACCATTGCCATACTGTCGAATCGAACATCAGCACCATTGTTCCAGCTGCATAAATTTTGCAAACTACTGTAACTACACATTTCAACAGTTTCCAACTTGCTAATTTCTTCGCAGCTACAGTTCTGTTTTGATGTACTGTACACTTTTGGACTAAGTTTGTATTTCATAAATGAGTTGTTATGTTTATCTGAAGTAAGGGTATCATAGCTTCCAACAATTTTTAATTGATTTCTGTTGTACGTTTTATTGGATAAATATAATGAATCAGGCACTTTAAAGATCTTATCAGTTGTCCTCAAGCTGTGAACGGAAACATTTTCAACTGAACTCAATTCTTCATCTACTGAATGCAATGAAACACTTTCATAAGATTTTTTATCCAAAGGGACATCTACAGCACGTTCAGAATAGAATTCCATGCCACATTTTGCATGATTCTGTAAATTATTCATAGAAAACGTTTTTGGATCTGGCATAGCCCTTACAGAAAAGCGGCTTGCTGAATCACAATCATAGTCTTCATAATATTCATTATCTGCCACAAATCTGTATTCAGAAGTTTCAATTTCCTGAGCTCCATCAATATTGCTATTAGCCTTTATATCATCTGTAAATTGATGTTGTCCACACCCCCCTTCCAACGCTCTAATATTATTTAACATGTTTTCTCTAAAATGACCATCAATCTTAGTTTCATTTACTTGAGTCTCTGTGTTAATAATTTTGGCCAAATTATTTACTGGCATCGAAACCTCAATATTGTTAATACATCTAATGCTTTCTATGCTATTGATACCTTTTATATGAGATGAGGCAGTGTTTCCATTATTTAGAGGGTCATCCAAAACATCTAAACAAATGCTTGTGGCATCTATAGCTGATGGCCTATTATTATTGCTAACATTACTTGCAAGAGGTAACTTTTTAGGTACTGGAAATTCAACTATTAAAATTCTATCACTTACATTACCACAGTCATCTCGATAGCCAATTCCAGAATCTGAATTACTAGATGCACTAGGTTGGGGTGAATTTGCTACGAGAGGTAATAAGTCATCATTCAGCCTACCACCTGGATGTAAATGACCATTAATTATAGCTCTATCATTGACAGAATCTTGTAATTTGTAGAGATTTTGAACTAGGCTCACTATGTAAAGGGCACTTCTTGGAAACTCAAGACAATTTCCAGTTATAACATCTTTTGTACAAGTTATCTTAAACTGGTCTGCTTTCTGTAAATGGGCACAATGATCTCCTAATTTAGGATCAGTTAAGAAAACATGACAACTGTTTGAAATCTCTATATCAGCTTTGTTCATGACTGAGTCTTTACATAATGCTGCTTCATCATTTACTGTTTCTGTACTGTTATTATTACAGACTGCACTTGTAACTAGTCCAAAGTATCTGGTATCTTTGTCAGTGGTTGAGCTAATATAAACAACACGATTTAAAGGATAAATAGCAAGTATTTGATTGGAAGCATTTTTTAATGTTAAACAGCTTGGTAAAATTGTCATAAGTATTAAAGTGGGTGTTCTTTTTTCTTGACGAAGCTTTTTAATGCAACTACACACAGTTTGTAATCGAGAATTAGGTAATAGTTGTTTTGGCATCTCTATTGTCCCCAAATAGCCAACCAGAGCTTTGTACTCAACAGCTCCTTCATTATAATCATTTGCAACAGGCCGTGGAAGATTCACCTTATTTAAAAAGTTTGCATTCCATTCACAATATGGTTCAGTTGAATTCCTTTCACTGGCACAAGACTGGTTTTGCTGAAATCTATCATTTGCATGATCATTGCTTTTTGACAACTTTTTTACTGGACTGTTAATTTTAAAGTCATCAGTACATTTATTTACTTCTGACTTGTGCCTGTGACCTTTTGGTTTATGTAGGTACCTTGGTTTTCTATTGTTTACTAATCTAGGCATCTCATTTTCTTCATCACTACTATCTGAGTAGTAATTTTCAGCAATGGTCATTCTAATAGGACCAATACTGCTACCTATAAGATTAACTACTGCATCATGTGTACTTTTTGAAACTGGGGTACCATTAACAGAAATTAAAAAATCTCCTGCCCGAAGTCCAGCTTGATCTGCTGGTGAATTAGCAACTATACATGAAAGAATACACGGCTGTTGCCCTGATATAGTAAAGCCAAATCCATTAGGGCCCCGAATTACTTCTGCAGTTCTAATGCCATAATTTGGACGCTTTTTTCGTCTTCTACTGGGGTGCATTGTATCCCTTTCTTGATATAAATTCGTTTATTTCGAAATACTTTAAAGTAAGTTATTAAAAATCACATTAAGTCAGCTACACTTATTCACAACAATCTAAAACACAATAACATGTTTTTCTCTTCAATTTTTTTAAATGGCCGTTACCAAAAGAATCAAAGAATTTGAGGCATTTGCCCTCTAGCGGTAAATATTTCAAATACCTTAACAATACATAGGTCATACAAGAAGTAAAATCATTTCTAAATGCATAATACAAGGTCCATTTAAAAATTTTATGTTATACTATGTGTAAAATTTTATATTATAAGAAAAAATAGGTTGCATAAAAGAATTTAAATTTTTGTTTGATAATCTAATATTTATAACAAAAAATACATTTTCAGGATCCTAAAATAGTATATTTAACTTAATATCAAAACAAAGAGCATCGCTTAGAAAATAATATGAATGAATGAAAACGTTTTTTACTACCTTAATTCTATTCTTTAGATAAAAAAATATATACTTTATAGTTATATTATGCGGTAGATCCCTGTGGAAAATTACCAGCCCACCTTGAATAAACAACGTTTTCGTCACTCTCAGTTATTGTTTTATACCCTAAAAAAAATGATATAACCAACGATTAGGTAGAACTGAAATTTATGAAATTACCAAACTTTATATTCCCAAGTCTGCTATCGGAAGAGTACATTGGTGTGGGCTCAGCCTCTGTTATTCCCGGTTCAAAATCTTGTATTTGAGATTGAAAGAACGGTGGAACGTCTTGGAGTGGATGTGGTCCCAAATGAAATTCGTTCACACTGTCTCTTTCTTTCCAAATTGTATCCATATCACTTATATTCCTCTTCCTAAAAACGCATTTAAAAAATGTTTCTTCATAAAATAGTAAAAAAAAATAAAGATGATAGCAATTATTTTTAAAGCCAGTCCAACCACTATCTCCGGACTTTTAGTCATGTGGACAGCGACACTATGGACTTTTTGAGTCTTCTTAATTAAACTTTTACAAAATAGATGTATTTGTACGTAGTAAAATTTAGTTAAATTACCCTGAGCTTCTGTATACACTTCGCTTTATTAGGCATCTCACCAAATACATTGCGACCATAAAAACAACCAAAACGATGGAAAAAATCAAAATCCACGTGGTCAAATATTTTGATCCATCTTTTCCTACGTAAATGCCCAATCCTATAGTATTCAAATAACGTTGCGCCAATTTGTCCCACATTTCTTGTAGACTTGTAGAATTCAACTGATATCCAAAATAATCATCTGCGAGCGCAATAGGGACGGCGAAAGTTAATGTAACACATGTAGAGGCTTCTGCCCAGTTTGAAGGACAAGTGTTTAAATAAGTAATAGTGACATTATCAGCCCTAAAAGGTAAAGACAAAAAAGTAATTAAATTGCAATTACAAGACTTCAACAAATACATATATAACAGTAATGAGATATCATTTTTTGATGGCTTATCATAATTAATATACACTGTTCACATTATGCGGTATATTCGTTAAGCAATGTTCACACTATCGAGTATATTAGTACAGTACAGTACACAGGAAGTATTATAAGATTATTAGATGTGACTAAAATGGTTCTAAAGAATAAAAAGTAAGTATTACGTACGTAATTGAATTATTCAATACGAAGCTTTTATGAGAACAAAATTCTGTAGCCATTTTAGCAATTACATTCTTTAGCGACATAATGGTCGCACTATTATTATATTCCAGAGCGTTTTTGCCAGTAATCGACACTGTTATTTTATCTTCTACTACAGTTTCATTTTTGGTACCATTTACTGTAAATGTAACTTTTTAAAAATAATTTCAAATCAAAAACATTTCTGAGCTTACAAAATCGTTGTATAGTCATGTTAAATCCGTTACTTCCTTTGGTGTTTTCATCGTATACTAAGAACTTGATTACTGCACCACTACATGTAATGTTATAGTCATAATCGGTTGTAGAATTGGTAATTTCTTCGATTTGCGTGGAATCTGAAAAGTATTGTTACTTTCTTAATATTTATCTTAGATGAATAATAACAAAAAAAAACAAAACTGCAATTAATAATAATGAAAAAAAGAAATTAGTCAGTTACAAGTGCTAATAACGTAATTTTAAATA